TCTCAGAAAGCGCTGGTGCATGCACAGAGTTTAATGCAATGTTTCCAGTCAGTTCACTCTACAGTACAAATACTGCCTTCTCTCTTGTGTAAAGAAGCCTCAAAAGATTGTCACTGAGGTTTGCTGGTCAAGGCAGGTGGCAAACAAGTGACTTCTGGGGCATGACAATAAAGCAAACTGGATATTGTATTTGCCTTCGCAGTTTGATCTGGCACTGCAAGGACTGAGGATGACAGGTTTTTGCCAGTTGACTCCCTTAGATACTTTGGAGCCCACAAGCACCTGCTGAAATTGAGGCTTTTAAAACACCAGACAGGTGTCAACAAGTTTTTAAGGTCCTCCGGAATGCAGGGCAGAGGGAGAGGAAGCGATTAAAGTGGTGCACGGCGCTCAGCCTGGGGTTTCCTTGTTCTGAGAAGCTGGGAGTGAGGCAGATTAAATCTCTTTAAGCAGCACTGGAAGAGAAGGAGTAGGTTTTATTCTTAACAAGCAAATATAATGCATGTATTTTCTGAGCAAATATTTTTCTATGCCACGTAACCAATTACCAAGTCACACATGTACAACCTTACTGGTGAAATAAAGGAAGTCTCACTGTTTGTCTTGTTAACTCGCTTCCCTGCAGCCACCCTGAGTCATGTGTTGCTCTGGGTCGGCTGTGGAAGGGGTGGGAGAGCATTTTGCCATTGAGATTACTGTGCCAAAAGACAAACTAACTAATTTCTGAGTCTCTTCCAAATGAGTTAATGTTGTAATAGTAGAGCATAAGGCTGAGAGAATTGGGATTGGGATTGTTCCCAATGTTTCTGCTTCAAACATGGCAAAGAACGAATTGTGCATTAACTTGTAGTAATGATCTAGGGTAATAATCTATAGGATGTGATACAAACTCTTTAATTGGATTTTTAAAACGTAGGAATTGTACTCTATGGCTAATATAGCTTAGTTGTGTCTGTGTTTGAGCCCAGAACTTGTATGTGAGGCTATCACAGTATTTCTGAAGAGACTAGACAGAGCTGTATGCTGCAGAAATCTGGATCTGTGTCCATCTGGCTCAACAAGCATAAGGGCATAACTTTCCTGATTTGCCAAAACGGTAAAAAAATTATTTAAACATAGTCATTGACTAAATTTCCTACCCAGGTGGCTACCCCAGTGTTTTCAGGTGGTGAAAATCTGCAAGTGGTTTTAAGTACTGCTTAGAAAAATGACTGATACCCTTAAATTTCAGGGATAGCAGATGTTCTTCTTGCAGTTTAAAAACACTTTGAGAACTTCTGTCATAGCCATGTATATATACAAGCTTATCTCATGTTGCAGCCTGTATACAGGGATTTTATCTTTTGGTGCAGTTAACCTTTGAAGAGTTGATTCTGGTAATATTTGAGATGTAAGGAACTTTTTTCTTGCTTTCTTTATTAAATAAAAAAGTGAAATTCACCCAATCCAGACCATAAACAAGTAGAAGGTTTCATGATACAAGGGGGGATATATCTTGTAAACAAGGATGGGATAGTCTTTAAACAGAACATGCCTGGAAATTATCTACTTGGAGGCTGAATAAAAAAACCTCAGCAGAATTCAGAGGGGCCTGAATTGGCAGATTTTATTCTGTCAGTCTGGACTCCTGCTCACAAATGGTGTGCTTATATGCATGGCTAAGCTACAACTGCTTCTGCCAATTTTCTGCTCCAAATCTTTTGCTGGTTTTGGAGTCACTGTGCAAATGACCAGAAGAAACAGGTTTTTATTCCTTTATGTCCGTTCATATGGAAGATGAGCTGTTGCAGAAGAGAACAGAGCCGTGCATCGTTAAACTGGCCCACTTGTTACTGTCACCTCTTGGGCAGCCTATCAACAGCTATAAACGGCTTTTAAAGGAATCCCTGTGCTCCCCTCTGGGCCAGAAATGATCTTTCAGCAAATGTTGACTTGCTGACTAAGTGGAGCTTATGTCATTTGATTTTTAAAGCATTAAAAAGTAAGATAAAAAACCCCTCCTGGTATTTCTTGAGTGGTCTCTAAAGCAACCTTGCTCTAAAGAGAAGGTGAGCTTTGTGAAGATCAGAAACTGTGTCAGCTGCCAGCAGGTGACTTTGTGGTGGCCTGTAGACTGCTTCTCATGCAGATTCATTTTTCAAAAAGGAGCTGCCATCAGTCTGAGCCAAAGGACAGCGTGGGTGCGGACAGGGTAAGGCAGGGGCTCAGCTCAGGTGGGACCAGAGCTAACTCACTTCAGGTGCTACATCCAGCTTCTTTGAACATTTCTAGATTTTGTGTTGTGGTTTTCAGTGTTTGCATGAGATGAATTGTACAGCAATTCCTCGTCTTCTGTGTGTGCTTTGTCTTACTCTGGAGTCTTTTCCTTTACTGATGTGTATAATAAGAGTTTCAAGCCACTTGGAATAAAAACCATGACATTCAAATGCAGTTCTGGTGTTGTTCATGAGTGGCGAACTAGGAGACCTTCAAATCAATTTTCATTAAAATTCTCCACGAAGAGTCATTAACACAGTGGTCTTTCACCTGGAGTTGCTGCTTAATGAAGAGAAAAATGGAGGAAAAACTTTGTGTCTAAGCTCACAGCAAACCCCTGCATTCAAAATAATTCTCTTTGGAAACATTTTAAACAGTATTTGTTGCTTTGATGTTGCCTTCATCATATTTTAATGCTTAATTAAAAATAAAACTCCAAGCATCTGAAATTATATTGTACCTTAAAGCTCAAATAGAGTAGTTTTGGTTTTAAGTATTTTTTTTTGCTCAGACAAAAGAAAAGGGAAAGTCAGGCTGTTTGATGTTGTGTCATACTAGAGGAGTACGCTGGCACTGATGTATGTGATGTTGTTTTTTCCATGAGAATACTGATGTGAGTGAAGATTACTTAAGGGTGCGAAAGAGAAGGTCCACAAAAAGTCAGTAAAAGAAATCTATGATTATGGGTAGAATCTGCTATGGTTTCTCAGTGTATCAACTCAGTTTAACAGAGAGCTGGACAGAGAGGGATGTGCTGTCATTCCTTAAGGATTTGTTAGGCCTGTGCTATGGGATTCCTCATCTACACTGGATATGATGAATGGCGAGGTCCTGGAGCAGCTGGGCTGGCTCTGAACTGTGGGCCTGTTCCTCACTAACTGCTGCACACTCCTCATGCTCAGTGTCCACAGTCGACAGCAGGAAAAGACTTCGTTTCTCTCTCTCACCTTGTTTTTCCCTTCTCTCTTCCTTGCATTCATGATTATGTGTCTGAATAGTTCTGTTTCCAAATGTGAACAAATGAGGAAGGCTCTATCCACATTTGTTACATGTTTGTTACAAATGTGGATAGAGCCTTCCTAAATCTTCTTTCGCAAAGCCTAGCCACGATGAGTTCTGTTTCCATGCAAGTATCCACCAGGCTCCGATTCTGCAGTCATTGGAGGCCTCCAGATGACACTTTAGCTGCCACAGGAGTTGCTCTAAGGGTGGGTGTTGCTGAAAGGAAGCAATGCTAACTGTGTCATTTACTTTTCCTGCGGGCAAAGCATGCAGTGCTGCTCTTCCAATCCTTAAACCATGGATTTGACCTGAGTGGTACTGCAGGATCTCACCTGGTCCTTTGGATAATGGACAACTCCTGATGCTTTGCTGCTAGCAGATAACTCGTGCTTTGCTTTTCAGAGTAAATGTTTTTTCCCCTAAATATGCACGGATATTTTCCAATGGTGCCTGTGTCAAGGTAAAAGTCAGTGCATTAACTGTTACTGCAGGAGTGAAAATGAGTGTTGAGAGGGGAGACTGCAAAAAACCAGTGAGCTCCATTTTCAGAGTGATGAATCCGTGTTCCACCGAGCTGGGAACAAAGTCCAGATGGTCCCATTCGAAGAGGGGCTTTAACAGAGGCTCTGTCACTGCCAGTGTATAACTGTATGTGCCACATCCTTAATTATAACATACCTGCTGTTTGAAGCTGTTTTTCTGTTCTGGGCTAAGTGTTACCTGAAGGTACTCACAGCTGTGAAGCACAGGAGGGTGGTTCAGTTTTCTGACTGTGAAGGATGTTGTTTCTGCTGGTGAAATGATGAGGACACCTGTTCCTTGGAAAATGGATTGAAGCCTCTGCCTCTTTTCGTTCAGGGTGTTGGATAATGATCGTTGGTTGAGGCTGCAGGTCAATGTTGATGCAAACCAGGCTGAAGTCAATGAGTCATTACCAATCCCAGGAGAATGTGAGGCCCATTAGGAAGCATTATTTAGGCAGCCTATCCTACAGGATATAGCAGAACAGCAAATGCTCTGAGAATTCTCCATTGTTTTACTTGTTGTAATTGTAAGTACTTGTTCAAGACTTGAACGCTGACCCTGTGGTCTCCAGTGTGTTCCTGGTGGACAGGGATGTGAGTATAAACAGGCACCAGAGCAGCTGGCACTAATAATCCTGCTTGGCAGTCCCTGCAGAGGAGAAGGAATGTGAATGAGCTGAGACACTGAACAGCTTTCTTCCTGGGGCTGGAGTGCCTCCTGGATGGGTTTCAGGTGTGCTGCTATGGCAGCTTCTTCTTTCTGGACCTGCAAACTGTCAAGTTCAAAGAAACCCTGTTAAACATTGGTTTGAGTCACTCTTTTGTTGCTTGCTTGGACAGGATGCATGTTTGAGAGTGCAAGTAAATGCTTTACTGTAATTTATCTTTTTGGCTGATTTGCAGCCCCTTGTTGCTGTTCTTGAGCCAAACAACTTTTAAGAACCTCAAAGTGTATATTTTTTTTGTTAATTCCATTTCTCATGAAGGATTAGGATGAGAGGACTAATGCATAGTTACATGCATGCACAGTACTAAAATAAGTGGAGGAAAGCTTGGTGCAGGTAGAGGGCACATCTAAAAATGCACCAATAAACCTTACAAATGACAAATTATCAAAATTTCTTAGAGCATCAGCAGTGTAGCACTGGCAGATTGTTTCTGTCCTTTCTTATGTAAATGTGATATGCTTTTTAAACTTTTTTATTTTCTACCTTGCAGGGGCCTGAGTTGATGAATAAATATGTTGGTGAGTCTGAACGAGCAGTGAGAGAGGTGAGGAAGGGGGCAGGCTATGGATAATGTTAGATGTTAAACTTTCTCGGCATTCAAATTCTTCTCTGCTTATAATGTTAATTTTAAACTTTCTAAAAATCTCCTGGTGTAAGTTTCAAAAAGAAAAAGAAAATAGAAAAGGCAGGAGGGATATTTTATGTTGTTTAGCTTTCTTGAGCATTGGCCTAGTGATGCATGTCAAATTTGGGATCCAGTAGCAGCTGTCACTACCAGGCCTGCATTGCACAGTATCATGCATAACTTTTAAAAGATTTGTTTAAAAAAAAAACGACACCAAAACATGATAAGTCTGATGTCTCTTATGTGATGCTCTGTAGCTTTTGAGGCATGCAGGGGGTGATAGCATTCTGTAAACAGTTTCCATCCCTTAAAACCGGCTGTTTCATTGTTGTTTTTCTAGATCTTCAGGAAAGCCAGAGCGGTGTCTCCTTCAATTCTTTTCTTTGATGAGATAGATGCCTTGGCAGTGGAAAGGGGAAAGTAAGTAATCCTGTTACAAAAATAACAGACATAATTTTCTGATAAATTACTCCCACACTGTGCAATCACAAGTCTATTTACCCTTCTAGAATTATTTTATGAAATATATTCATTCCACATACAGAAGGGCAGCATGTGTGACTTTTACTCAAGCGTATTTAACTTGGCATAAACAGGTAAGCTGGTGGAGTTCCTCCTTTCTCATCTCATCAGCAGGAATGATTCTTCTGCTTCTCATGCCCGTTGGCTCTTTTCTGTGGTTTTACCTTGCATTTATTTCCAGTACCTAACTCCTTTTTTTTCCCAGGATTGTTGCACTGGCCTAATTTGGTGTCTCTGTCAAGCAAACAATATGATCATAAGCTGTGTAACACAAATTTCCAAGGAGACTACTCATATGCCTAAATTTACACTTACATTTAAATATTTTACCAGACTGGGAAAAACTTCATGGAAAGATTTGTGACATTAAGAAGGGAATATTGTGCAAACAGCTAATTGTGTTTTCTTTAATATCCTGCTTTGTGATGATTCCAAGAGATGTTTAGCTTGTGTCTGAAGGAGGATTGTGGCAGGTTTTAGTTGATACTACAGCATTTAAGATTTGACAAGCTCTGTAAGTGGAATATCTGCTTATAAATGCAACTGCTACTTGTTGTGAGCAAGTACTTTTATTCTGTTTTGTTTTGCATGACAAGCTATTGACTAGGTGCATGGAGAAAGTATTTGGTCAATTTAAAGCCTCATCAAAATTTCAACATTTTTCTGGAAAACGAGCTCCCTCAGCATCCCTACAAATCCCTTTATATTGCAAAAAGGACACTTGTGTCTTCAGAAAAAGATAACAGGTGTCATTTTGACATTTCAGTGACACAAATGAATTATTTGTGTTACAGGACGTGTCATGACATGTAGCGTAGAGCTGCCCTGTGAAACTGCTAAGAAATGAACATATTTGCTGTTGAAAATGCAAAATCTGTGTGAAGATGTTTTCATCAGCATCCTTCTCATGTGCGGTGTGTGAAACTGTGGAATTTGTGAACTTCCTAGAAATGCTATGCACTGAAACACAGTGCAACAAAAAGTTGCAAAAATGTGTGTTTGAATCAAGCCAATGGAGGGGAATCTTCCCCTGCTGCAGCTTTAAACCTGTTCAGCTTTCAGAAACACCACTTCATCAAGATAAAACCTTTTGGAAGAATAAGCCATAATACATTTTAATCAGCCTTTTCACACAGTGCCCTCGAGGTGTTGAGTTTGTTTGTTTGTTTGCTTTATTCTCTTAGGGAGTAAACAGCCTAATGTTACCTTACCTGGAACTGTCTGTGGGGGGTAGTAGGCCTGGCACAGCTTGCTGAAGAATGTGGTATGACCTGCTGCAGCCGTGTTGTGCTGGAGACATCTGGTTTTGGAGCTTTAAAAAGAACAGGGTGGGACACACAAATATTTCATTGTCAAATCTGAACCAGATGGGAGGTAAAATATGTAGCAGAGTTCTCATAAAATTCATCTGAAATTAAATGGTGTAGGAAACCAGACAAGGCACTTATTAGAAATGGCCTTTTTTTACAGGCTGACTTTGCACAGTAGGAATTTGCAAATGCACTAGAGATGCTAATGATTTGTGGCCTCTGGAGATCCATTTCCTGTACTATTACTAACCATGCTGAAGTTTTCAAGGAAACACCTGTTTATATTGTCTCCCTATTCCCTCTGTTGGTTGAATTAGTTTTCTCTGCCTTAGCAGTGAAAAACACTGGGATACAGCTTTGCAAGAGCTTTTCCTCTTGGTTTCAATCCTTGTTAGGATGCTGTGGGCTTTGTGCAGAATGTGCCACATCCCGGATCTCTTGGGTAGGCAACCTCTCCTGATCCTACCAGGACATGTCCAGAGATACAGAGAAGCCAAAGAATAGTTTTATGAATAATGCCAATCTGAAATACAGATGTGAAATAACATTGAGTAATTGCTTAATGCTTTCGCCCTTCAAAGCACTTTGCCAAGTATTCATTAACCCATAATTACTTGTTTAGATTTGTCTAAAGGTTGTGGATTTACAACACAAATGTTTTGCTCCCAGTCTTCAGAGCTGATTGAACAGTCCCTTCTAAGCAGCAGGCACATGTGAACTAATAGACTTTGTGATTAATTAGTGTACAGGTAAATCAAGAAAGATAAGGAATTACCTTGTTTGCACCATTCAATATAACATCTCCTCTGCATCATTTAGTGGATTCTGTCACTGCACAAGCCATTACTCCATGGCAGACACTATAGCTGCATTCACTTATGCCACAGTGTTTTATTTATTACACATTCCCAAGCCATAATGCCATAATTCCATAACTGTAATACATCTAGCACTCTACCTAATGCAACTGTCTTGTGTAGCAGTTTTGTTTTACAAAATGTATTTGTGTAGAACAAAAAAGTACTTAGAAGTCAGCAAAAATTATATTGGCATCGTTCAGTGTCAGAGTGTATTAGTTCTTACAAGATTATTTCTTATCCAGCCTGCTTAGAAGTTCCATATCTTTTATCAATATGAACTAAGCTCCTGGTTTTGTTTTTTTCTTGTCTGTCCACGCTCCCCTCCCAATTTTGCATGTAGGCAGCAAACTAATACATATTAATCAAGGAATTAAAAATGTGGGCTGGATACATACCAACCTCGAAGACAATTTATGAAACTATAATCCTGCACCTTGGAAAAAAAGTATTTCAGTGCAGAGAGCAATTGCTCAAGAGAAAAGTCTAGAGATCCTTGCTGCAAGAAGATGAGAGGGTGATTCTGAAAGGACTTGGGTTACTAATGTGGTAGTGAAGGCAGATAAAGATACTTTGAGCTGTATTAATTTCTGAATCTCGTTCTGTTACACTGAGCTTCTAGCACTCTTGGAAGAATTTTCCATCTCTTTCTGGTTTATGTTGAGACGTCAGAGGAAGTTTAGAGATAACTGAAAATGAAAAATTAGGGGCTGAATGGCCTGACTATAAAGAAAAAGGGAGGCATTCCCTCTAACTGGTTCTAAAGAACAGATGATAAACCTGCAGAATAAAGATGGGAGACAGTTAGAGGTGTCACAGTGAGGTTTGAGTAGGAGAAATGATTGATATGGGGAAAATGTCTGTAAATCAGCAAGGCTTTTGGTAGAGCATTCTCCTTCCCCGTAAGTTAGTCATTTGGGAGAAGGTCCAGAACCTTGCACTTGACATCTTTAAAACAAACCTGACATTTCAGGGATCACCGTGCAGCGAGGAGCAGTCGGGCACTGTCAGAGGTGAACAACGTGACGCACGGACCCTTTTCCACTGCTCCGTGGTTCTGATGAGCATTTGCTTCCACGGGCGGGTTATGACTTTTTCCTTTCCTTCTCCATACTTTTGAAAGATGTTGTTATGACTTTTTGTAGGAGACACTGTGCTAAGGCAGGACTGGTCCAGATGCAGCAGGAAAGTTTGCCTGGAAGTAATCCCTGGCCTGCACGAAAGCTTGAGAGGCTTTACAAATTGCACAGCTGCAGAGAGTTATGGGTATTTGTTATCCCTCGGTATTCCTGACCATGTAAAACCTAATTCTTCTAGCCATCAGAGGTTGCCAAGAGGGAAATGGCTTGGTAATTAGACTTGAAAGTGATGAATGAACATGGGTCTGTGTAAATGCAGCACAGACAGTCTGTTTGCTGAACTTAAGAAATCTCTGTGCTTTGGAAATGGGACATTGTTTATATAAGTGGGATTTTTAGGATTTTTGGGTGGGAGACATATTTGTTCCTTTTCTTGTTTTTCCAGAAGCAAAGCATTTTCCCCTTTAGTAAGATGGGAAATGTTGTAGACTGCTGTAGAAGTCACTGATAAATTCCATTTTCAAAGGGGGGAAAAAAGAGAAAGACAAGGGACAAAGTCAGTACCTTGCATTTGACTTCTGGAGGCCAAAACAATTTGGTAGATGAATGTTGCTAACCTTTTCAGAGTGAGAGTAGAAGTGACAAAGTGAAGGGATATTGCTACCAGTCCCCTGACACTACAACTTGATGATGCTTTTTCGGGAAAATACGTTATCCTGTACGCTGAGGGGAGGATAGATAGATTCCTAAGCCACAATTTGAATTGCTCAGAAGCACTGAAAGACGTACTGTTTTCATTTTAGGTATTAAAATATTTGTAGTCTCAAGTTTTGAGGCCCTCAGGCTTTTAAAGGAAGGTGTGAAGAACAGCAGCTTCTCTGCTGTCCTCTGCCACTTTGCTTTTAACAGGGACAGTGATAAATCTTCTCTTTTTAAACCAAGCTGTCTTTCTGGAATATTTTAACCCATATTTATACTCTACACTTGAACATACCCTTGCATTTTTGTATCTGTGCAAATTCCCTGGTGCATTGAGCAGCCTCTGTCATGAAGGAGGTCAGTGATTGCATCCAGCAATGAAACGCATGGGCTGGACCCTGCAGGGATGCAGCAAGGTGACATTGGGTAGCATAGAGGTTGTTGGCAGAAGGTAAATTGTCAGTAGTCCCTGAATTGGGGAACGTCAGCTGATTCCCTGCAATATCTGAGCTGTGTTTGCATGTGATGGAGCGTTGAGACATTTGAAACTTTTACGACTGCTGTATGAATTCTTCAAAGTTTTGGAATTTGGTTTCCAAACAGAAATATTGTCTGGGAAAAACGCTGCATGTCCAGTGCCAGCTTTCTATTTTAGGCCTAGCAAGGAGTGGTGAAGAAGGAAAGTTTTGAAACAATTTGATTGTACAGCAAAGCTTGTATTTGTCTTTGGAATAGCAATTTCAACAAATAACATTACCCAGATATTGTGTATGTATACAATAAAATTCTGAAATTCCTTTAGTTTTGAAACAAACTCATTAACACTTCTTGTGTAGCAAGAATCTTTTGTCTCAATGTGTTCTAAATCTGTGTTTCTTCCTTTTTGTAACTTTGTAACTTTGCCAGCCTGTGTTATAACTTGGATGTTTGAAGTCAATAGAGAATTTCATTGA